GCAGGTTGCAGGTATAACTGCACTTTTCTATGTCCACAAAAAAACTGCCGCATATTATACTCTTTACCTTGTCTTCGCAAACTATTTGGGCAATCACAAAAGCGCAAACGTTGACTAGAAACCCTGTGTGCCGCTTGCCTCACGCGAACTTGAGCCGTTTTATTTCAATGAACATTAAATTCTATCTCTTTCGAATTTACAACGATGACTTATTAAAATTAATTACGCCACACTCTATCAATAATTTCAACCAACAAAGAATTTACATAATGTTAAATTAAATCACACTTGATTAAACGGAGAATTTACATGAAATTAAATTATGCGGAAATTCCAGCTACTGAGTAAATCAAAATGCATTCGCAGATTTCCTCGTGAACCGAATTCCCACATTAGATACAAAAAAACATATTTAATACGATCAAAATCACAATAAGCTGGTCCCGGAAACGCTGCACTTTAGAGCGACCCTGTCGAGAATAAATGTTAAAATTCAAGCCGCAAAAATATTATTAAACCTGTAAAAAAACATTAAAGCCCTCCCGTTTTTTCGAATCCACGAGATTATTATATTATATTTTGATATTTTCAAAACGGTTCAACCTTTAAGATCAGTTTAAATACCATAAATTAACTATTATAAATCATTAATGATAATAATACTAAAGTAAAATAAGAAGTGACCGCCGAAAGCACATAGTGGAGACACTTCCTCCCCACATTTCTATCTTAACAGAGGATCCCTACACATGGTTGCCTATAGCACTGACTGACATTCTTAATTTATTTTTCGGATTCAAATTATTCGAATGAAGTTTCGCGGAGCGGTTCTTTTTTCTCAGCGCGAAACTTTAATTCAAACCGGGACACTACAACTGATTAATTAAAAGATTACAAAACAATATATTGTGCAATGCTTATCTGTCACATTGCAAATATAAAAGTCAGTATTTTTATTTTAGCCAAAACATTGTTGATGTCGTCGCTAATTTTTTTTTTTTTAATTTATTCGTTAAAAAATAAACTGATTCCACATACAAATTCACCATATGAGAAAAAAAACGAAACAATTATCATAGCTTAAAAATCTCGTGTACCGTTAACCAGTATTATTATTATTTAATTAATTGTCGTCCTTTTGAATGAATGAAACAGGTTTGAATCAGATTGTCTTTTATTTAATGTTATCATTTAATTAGTTGAATGTTCTATGTATGTCTAGATTGTCTAGTTTATCGGTCTGTATTTTATTGATCACATATTTCGGAATTAGTTAGTTGTAGTATGTGTCAATTTAAAAATAGATCTATATAACCTGCCATGTGCGATACTGATTAAAGTATGTTTTAAATATTTATATTTATATACCTTAGTAAAGACACAATAAAAGTGAATGTTGACGTTAGTGAACGTATACACTCGTTACTCACATTATCTATCGGATTTTATGTTTATATGGTGCTTTTTTACTTCAACACCGTAAGCTGTAATAGATTCCATCCAAGGACGGCTGCGTTCATGTTTTCGCGACTTTTCATAACCGCTAGAGTACAAAAAAGTGGTCTCCCGTTTTTGTCTGTCTGTCGTGTGTTTTGATTTTGATTAGATCGATAATCTCCCAAACTACTCGACTGATTGTTGTCAAATTTTATGTTTTATGTTAGAACTATCGTGTAGATTATAAAACGTTAATCAAAATTTGTCTATCCTCACCAACAATGGAATGACGTCATCTCAAAAATTTACGATTATAAATGTTATTTAGATTTTATAGAATACTATAGAATAAAATACTCCTGCACTTGTGGTTTATGAAGCCTTGTTGGGTTTTTATCCTAGAGATCCAGGTTTTTGAAAAAAAACTGTGTAACAACATTTTACAATTGTTACTTATTTGAACGTTCTTAGTCGAATTCTCTCGAAGTTAAGCATGTACTGATTATATTTGAAGTTTTTATTAACGCCACTGACTTTTGCGTTATAAAGTTTTATTACAAAAAAAATCGCAAAACCAAATTTTATCATTTTTCACAGAACGGGGATTTGTTGAACTGTGTATTTCAGGGGCGAGGGAAGTTCAGTCAAAACATTCTTCGACCAATTTTTTGCTTCCTATTCCATCTAATTCCTTTACCCGTACCTGCTATAACTTTCCAATCTCGCAGTCTATTTGTCGAAAGTCTCTATATTTCTGCTCGCAGTGCCGCCTCGTTAATATTCCATTGTCGACTCGTCAACTTTATGTTATCACCATATTTCACAAGAATATTCTGAACCTCTACCAACTTAAATATCGATTCGAAATACGTAATGTCGTCACATTTGACCAATTTTACGAGATATGGGTTACAATTAATCCATAAAAAGGTAGTGTAAGAAGATAAAGGGAATTTTACGTTTCTAGAGAAGCTGCTGTCTCCTTCAGTTCAATTGTATGAAAAACTGAATTAAATTTTGTAGCTTTATTTATTTCTTTAGTTGAAAAAAAGTAGGTACAAAAAAATCTTATTGTAGCCAAAGGCACGTACTGAAAATTTACCCATTCCCAGACCTCCCACTTTTACATTATTGTGTCTAGATTAAATGGAATGAAAAAGTGTTACTCAGGATCAATGAGATTCAATCAGAAAGCCTTAGATTATTTCATTCGAACCAACTCTCTGTCAGAAGAAAAAACCTTTTTGCCTTTAGATTAAAAGAGAAAAACCTTCTATAATAATAATTCGGGCAAATGTAGGATTACCAATCACACGGTTCAGGCTTGAAAGCATATTCTAAGGTTGCCACACACACAAACTAGAAAAAAACATTTATCCACCACTGGCGATTCCTTATAGATTCGTCCCAGCAGTCCAATAACGAAAATTCAAAACCTGCCGTTTCTATGTTCATCCCGTTTTATTGTAGACAATTTAATATAATGTCTATCAAGGAACATCTGCGAAGATATGAAAGTGACTAAAATGTTAATGGATATGTGAGGAGACTTTTAAAAAATATGTTACCTTTTATGTCCTTTCGTTGATTTAGAGAGCTACGCTTTCCTTTGACCTCCCTTGTTACAAAAAAAAAAAAACTCCTAAACTCAGTGCTTTAAACGACAAAAACATTTTTGTGTTTGATATCACGAAATATTAAAAAAAATGTTTTTGTATCCCTCCTACACTGACCTGGACAAGCTTTAATCGATTTGTTCAAGAAATTTTCTAATTTCAGTGAGGGTAAATTTTGCTGTAGCTCTATCACGTTCCGTGATTGGCTAAAAATGCAGTTTTATAAATACATATTTGCAGCTTTTAATACGTTTCGGGCAAAAACTCATTTCCATGCCGTTTATTCTTGCAATTTATTGTGGGTTTTATCTTACACTGCACACATTATGCACGTAGCAAATACCCAATGGTCACGAGTCATGACATAACCCTCCATTTACCTCTTTGTAAAAGAATTAAAACGAGGAAACTCAGAACAGTTCTCCTACTGAGTTGTACACAAAGTTACTGCATAATAATGAGTGGATCTTGCTAAGATAAATATCAGGGTGCGTGTAAATATGCAATAAAAACTGCACCTTTATTGTGGCTATATTTTAAGGTTATCAAGAGTTAACCACAGCCATAAAATCGAAAGTAGTGAAGCGTTTCTCACGTGGAATATTTTAGGGGCAATAACAGCCACAAATTAGCCATCAAACGGGACCACTGAGTAGCCGAGTTTGCAGCAGAGAGAGTTTTTTTTTTTTAATTTTTTATTTTTTTATACACCTACATTAAAATTTTGATAAACTGTCAATTGACACAATTGTATAGATAAGTTCAATGAAATTGTCTTTACATAACGTGTTAAAGTATAAACTTAGACTTGATTAGACGATTTGGAACGAACGGGTAAAAACTGATTTAGAAAAGTGGCTCACGAATATTTTTACGTAACAACTTCATCCAAGTGCTAAACGACGGATCGTTTAAAAGAAAAAAATACACAAAAAGATCTGTATTCTCTTTCGCTTTTATAACATTACAATAAAATTCCATTTGTAACATCTTAGTATCGACTATTTTATTATGACTGTAAAAGCTCCAAATTGATTTTTCACTCACTTCCAATGGAACAACAGCCCCAAAACCATTATGATATGTATTTTTCAATTGAATTGAACGAACTGCGTGTTTGTCAATTCTCAGACAACGTAGTTTTGATTTTAATTTTTCGCTCCCATTTTGTTCATTCGTTCTTTTTTCCAGCTGTTTGCAACAGTTGGTTGTTTTGTTTAATTTTGTGTAACTGAACTGTTTTCTATTGTGTTTATGGGACATTTTAATTACATCGATACTGAAAAAAGATGTTGATGTTTTTGTGGTAACAGCGTAAGCAACTAGACTAGACACAAACAAAAAAAAGAAAAAAATGACCTAAAAATAGCAACGTCTTTATGAACAATTGTTTCTCCAGTTCAAGAAAATGTATTATTTACCTGAAAATTCCGGGAAGCATTTTTGCTTTAATTGAATGTACTTTGAAAATGCAACTTCATGTTGAGAAACCAAACCAGGTTTTCCCTTAAGGCGAAAATTTAAATTAATGCTTCACCTACTTTTCCGGCTTATTTTTACATTTTAATTGAAATATTTGTATCCATTTCTACAGACGACCACACAAATTTCAAGCAAAGGACCCAAACGGCGGAATTAATCTGAATGTTTTAACAATCTACAAATAGATAATTTCGTACCCAATTACCCAGCAATTTGAGCCGCGTTCACGAAATCTGGAGCTAAGAACCGCGCCTTTGTATTTTTACTCATGCTAATTAAGTCCGGGTTTCCGGTCGCTTGGATAATACCTCCGCACGATCCAAGTTGGTAATTTTTGTTTGAGAGGGTGTATCTGTTGCAAGTGGTATAAATTAGCGTCATCACTGAAGCACCCTCTTCTTCATTTGCATATCTGACGAAGCGAATCTGGGATTCGTTTTAATTGAGTTCCGGAACTGATTACAGGTGCATCGAGTCTGGTGGCTGAGGGACGGAAATCGTCTGCTGAGCAATTCGACGGCGGGAGTCATCGTCAGCAACCAAACCCTGGTCCTTCAGGTGAGTACTCTACTTCAAATAGAAGAAAATAAAGGCAGATTTTGTAAGATTAATTTCATGGTATTTGCAGACAGTGATGTGTCACAAAATTTCTGTTTTTCGAAAAATGGTTCACTTTCACTTGATTTTCTATCTGATGTCAATATAAGCGTCCTTTGGCCCTTCTCAATATTATTAAAAAAATAACGAATTCTTTTGAAAATACTGATAAAATTCAGAAGACTAGACTGAAACACTTGACATGAGATTAGTATAAACAACTTCAAAAGCACTTTTAAAAGTTCGGTAAAAAATTTGATAAATTAGATTTTTTCTCTTAGTCATTCGCGGTTTAATAGAAAATAGAAAGAGTCTAAAAAAATCACAGAAATTCTAAGGAACACAAGTACTAACTCAAAAACTCTAAGAATATGAAGAACTCAAATAATCCAAAAAATATTTTTTCAGAATCTGTCGGAATCATCCAAATTTTTCTTGGTATCTCGGATTATGTCAAATTTTGTCGGAATCTTCTCGGTTCTTTCGGATTCTTTCGGATCTTCTCAGAAATGGATCAGATTTTTACGTATTCTTTTGAATTATTTCCATATTTTCTCAATCTCAGATGTTTTCGAATTTTCTGGAATTATTTTCGAAATCTCTCAAATTCACTTGGATTTTTCGCAATTTGGCAGATTGTCTGGAAATTCCTCAGATTCTCTTGGAGTCTTTTGGATCCTCTAGAATTTTTTCATATATTCTCGGATTCTTTCGAATTCTCTAGGAGTCTTTCGAATTCCCTCACATTCTTTCGAATTCTCTTATACTTTTTCGTATTGTCAAAATCTCTTGAATTATCACAAAGTCTCTCGGATTCTTTTGAAGTTTTTCGGGCAGTTTTAGACCTTTTCAAATTTTTTGTGATTTTTTCAGATTCTCTTATATTCATTTGGATTCTTCCAGATTATCTCGGTTCTTCTGAATTCTGTCAGATTCTCCCAGATTTTTTCCTATCTTTTCGGAGTCTTTTTTGATCTCTCATATTTTTGCGGAGTCTTTTGGGTACTCTCAAATTTTTCGTGTTCTCTCGGTTTATGTCGTATTCGGATTCTTTCGGATCCTCTTGAAATTTAGTCGATTCTCCCATATTCTTTCGGATTTTATCGATTTCTCTTCATTTATTTTCGAATTCTTCCGGATTATCCCAGATCTTTTCAAATTTTCTGGAATTCTCTCGAATTCTTTTCCATCCCCTCGGATGTTGGTCAGATTCTCTTGTATTCATTTGGATTCTTCCCGATTCTCCCGGATTCTCTTGAATTCTCGCAGATTCTTCTATATTTTTCGGATTTTTTCTCATTCTCTCATATTTTTCGTGTTCTCTCAATTTTTTTTCATATTTTTTAATATTTTTTCGGATTTTTCCGAATTATCTGGGATCTTCCTAGACCACAGTCCTCTCGGAATTTTGTTGATTCTCCCATATTCTTTCGGATTATATCGATTGTTCTCGAATTATTTTCGAATTCTTCCGGATTATTCGCAAATTCTTTCGAATTCTCTGGGATTCTCTCGAATTTTTTCAGATTCTTTTCGATCCCCTCAGATGTTGATCGGATTCTCTTATATTCTTTTGGATTCTCCCAGATTCTTTCATATTTTCTCGGATATTTTCTCATTTTTTCATATTATTTCGGTTTTTCCGAATTTTCTAGGATTTTCTCATAATTTGGTCTGATTCTCTCGGTTTCTTCCGGTTCTTTTGGGAATTTGGTCGGATTCTCTCGGATTCCTTTGGATCATCTAAAGTCTTTTTAGGATTCTTTTGTATTCATCCAGATTCTCTTGAATTCTCTTAGATTCTATCAAATTTTTTCGTATTTTTCCGGATTTTTTCTTATATTCTTTTGGAATTTTCCAGATTCTCTTGTATTCTTTTGAATTTTCTAAGATTTTCTTAGATTTTTTTCGTGTTTCTTTGTATTTTCTCATATTTTTTCGGATTCTTTCGAATTTTGTAGGAATTTGGTCGATTCTCTCGTATTATTTCGGATTTTATCAATCTCTCTTGATTCTTCCGAATTATCTCGGATCTTTTCGAATTTTCTGGGTTTCTCTCGAACTCCTTTCTATTTCGTCGGATGTTGGTTCGATTTTTTTGTATTCTTTTGGATTGTTCCAGATTCTCCCGAATTCTGCAAATTCTCCTAGATTTTTTCGGATTCTTCCGAATTCTCTCGGATCTTCCCAGAACTCCGTTAGCACTCGATTGAGAATCGACTGCTAACGGATCTTTTGGATCCTGTCGGAATTTAGTCGATTGTCTCGCATTCTTTGGGACTCTATCGATTTCTCTTGATTTATTTTCGAATTCTTCCGGATTCTCGTGAATCCTTTCAGATTCTCTGGAATTCTCTCGAATTCTTTCAAATTCTTTTTGATCCCCTCAGATGTTGGTCGGATTCTCTTGTATTCTTTTGGATTCTTTGTAATTCTCTCGGATTCTCTTGAACTCTTTTAGATCCTCCCAGTTTCTTTCATATTTTGGGGGACATTTTCGAATTTTTTCATATTGTTTCGGATTTTTCCGGATTCTCTAGGGTTTTCTCATAATTTGGTCGGTCGGTTTTTTCCGGATCCTTTGGGAATTTGGTCGGTTTCTCTGGGATTTTTTCGTATTCTTTGGAATTCTCTTGAATTCTCGCAGAGCCTCTCGGATTCTTCCGGATATTTTCGTACATTTTTGGACCCTTTCAAATTTATTTATTTATTTTATTATTTTATTTGTTTATTTATTTATTTATTTTTTATTTATTTATTTATTTATTCTTAGTGATTTTTTCGGATTCCCTTATTTTCTTTTGAATTCTTCCAAATTCTCTCGGATTCTCTCGAATTGTATCAGATTGTCCTAGATTTGTTCGAATTTTTTCGTATTGTCTCACATTTTTTGGGACTCTTTTGGATTATCTTATTTTATTCGTATTTTCTTGGTTATTTCATAATCTTTGATATTTTTTCAGATTCTTCCAAATTCTCTCGGATCTTCCAAGAACCTAGACGAATTCTATCAGATCTTTCGGATCCTCTCGAAATTTAGTCTAGTCTCTCGTATTCTTTCGCATTCTATCGGATTTTCGATTTATTTTCGAATTCTTCCGGATCACCGCGAATCCTTTCAGATTCTCTAGAATTCTTTCAAATTCTTTTCGATCCCCTCAGATGTTGGTCGGATTCTCTTGTATCCTTCTGGATTATTTGTGATTCTCTCGGATTCTCTTGAATTCTCGTAGATCCTCGAAGTTTCTTTCATAGTTTCTGGGACATTTTCGAATTTTTTCATATTGTTTCAGATTTTTCCGGATTCTCTAGGATTTTCTCATAATTTGATCTGATTGTCTCGGTTTTTTCCGAATCTTTTGGGAATTTGGTCGGATTCTCTCGGATTTTTTCGTATTCTTTGGAATTCTCTTATATTCTCGCAGAGCCTCTCGGATTCATCCGGATTTTTTGGGACATTTTTGGACCCTTTCAAATTTATTTATTCATTTATTTTATTTATTTATTTGTTTGTTTATTTGTTTATTTATTTATTTATTTATTTGTTTGTTTATTTGTTTATTTATTTATTTATTTATTCTTGGTGATTTTTTCGGATTCTCTTATTTTCTTTTGGATTCTTCCAAATTCTCTCGGATTCTCTCGAATTCTATCAGATTGTCCTAGATTTGTTCGAATTTTTTCGTATTGTCTCACATTTTTTGGGACTCTTTTGGATTGTTTTATATTATTCGTATTTTCTTGGTTTTTTGATATTCTCTCATATTTTTTCGGATTCTTCCAAATTCTTTCGGATCTTCCCAGAACTTAGGCGAATTCTGTCAGATCTTTCGGATTCTATCGGTTTCTCGATTTATTTTCGAATTCTTCTGGATTACCGCGAATCCTCCCGGAAGCTCTGGGATTCTATCGAATTCCTTCCGATTCTTTTCAATCCCTTTAGATGTTCGTCAGAATACAAGAGAATTTTTTGGATTCTTCCTGATTCTCTCGGATTCTCTTGAATTCTCTTGGATTCTCCCACACTATTTCATACTTTCTGGGATTTTTTCGAATTTTTTCATATATTGGATTTGTCCGGATTCTTCAGGATTTTTTCTGGATCCTCTCCGTTTTTTTTTAGATTCTTTAGTATTCATTCAGATTTTCTCGGATTTTCTTGAATTCTCTTAGATTCTCTCAGATTTTTTCATGTTTTTCCAAATTTTTCTGATTTTTCCAGATTCTCTCAGCTTCTCTCGAATTTTCAGTCAATTTTCACTCATTCTAAAAATTCAGCCATTAAACAATTATCACCGAGAATACTACCTATTAATTCTGTATAAGCAAATAAAAAACTTTTTTTTTGAGATTTCACAGCTGGTTGACTAGATTTTCCGTCTAAAAGTTGTATTCTTATACATATTTGTGTTAACTTCTTTTTATTATTACTTGAAAACCGTAGCAAACGGGATAATAGAAAACATTATGTTCAATTTTATTTATTAAACACGAAGAAGCTATAATAGAAAGTAAAATTAAAAAAATATATTTTTTACTACTCAGCAACTTGTAATTCAAGCTAAAAACAATGTCGTTTACAGATTTTAATATCTCTATTCCTTCTCAAGTAATAAAGCCGCGCAATTTTGTCTGGAACACCACATAGACAGTGTATTAAAAAAAAAAAAACAGTGCTCCACTGGAGTTTTGAACCAGCGACCTTCGTGTTAGTAATCCTGGCTCTAGTCAACTAAGCCAGCCGTTCCCAACCGGTGGTTCGCGAATTCTCGATGTACGAGAAAAAAAAATTGTAATGGAATTTATAACTCTCAAACTTGACAAATATATAACATATTATAGAAACCATGCCAAAAAAGTTCTAATTTTGTTTGAATGTTCTAGTTCTTTTTGCAGCATTTTTTCAGAAAATGAAATTGAACTTCTGTCGTGTTTTTAAAAGGGGTAGATTCAAATTTTAT